AGTATTGCCTAATTTGTTTGTGCTGAAGACTATGCTGGACTGACTGGATCAGTCACTGGTTGTAGGTGGGTGGTTGCGTGGGTGGGTAGGTAGAAGTCCCTCTAGTCAGTTGTACCCAATGGTGGATATTATTGGCGGTAAACCCTCTTAGGGTTTGGGCTGCTGCCTTTCTGGTACGGTTTAGAGATTGTTTCCACATGTATATTTGGAATAGTAGAAAAGAAGGAGCACCCGATGTCCAACAGAATGCGCTTATGCAGCTCATTGCTGTCCCTGGAATGACAGCAGTCACTAATTTTTTCCTCCAAAACCTGGAAAATATATAACTGACGTGGGAATTTTTCCCATTTATAGTGATCAGCAACAGCCCTGAAGAAGGCAGGGGCTTTACTTCCAAAATAGCTTGATGAACTTGCTGATATTCTCAATAAAAGCCTCCTAATCTACCATCAAAAGTGCATTCTTTTGGACATCGGGCACTCCTTTTCTCCTATTCATAGTATTGCCTAAAACCTTTTTTGCAGGAACACTAGGCATTATTGTAATTAGAGATGAGCGAATCGAACATGACGAAGTGGAATTCGTTTCGAAGATTAGGAAAAATTCGATTCGCGCCGAATCCGAAAATTAGCAAACTTCGGATGCACGAATCGAATTTTCCCAAAAATGGCGGCGACATGTGTGGCGACGGAGCGGGGATCTCTGGGAAGGCGCGCAGACAAGGCGCGCTGACCCATAATGCATTCATTCATGACATGTGATCGCATTAGCCAATCAGCAGCCAGCCAGCCAGCACTGTGTAATGGTGGAGCTATAAATCGCGGCCATCTTAGAATTCTCCATTAGCCTCCGGTCATTCAAGAGAGACAGACCTGTCTGTATTAGGGACAGAGTTAGGGACACAGAGACTTTAGGGCCACAGAATTGTTACTCAGGGACACAGAATTGTTACTCAGGGACACAGAATTGTTACTGAGGGACACAGAATCGTTACTCAGGGACACAGAATCGTTACTGAGGGACACAGAATTGTTACTCAGGGACACAGAATTGTTACTCAGGGACACAGAATCGTTACTCAGGGACAGACACAGAATTGTTACTCAGGGACACAGAATCGTTACTCAGGGACAAAGAATTGTTACTCAGGGACACAGAATCGTTACTCAGGGACACATAATTGTTACTCAGGGACACAGAATTGTTACTCAGGGACACAGAATTGTTACTGAGGGACACAGAATCGTTACTGAGGGACACAGAATCGTTACTCAGGGACACAGAATCGTTACTCAGGGACACAGAATCGTTACTCAGGGACACAGAATCGTTACTCAGGGACACAGAATCGTTACTCAGGGACACAGAATTGTTACTCAGGGACACAGAATCGTTACTCAGGGACACAGAATTGTTACTCAGGGACACAGAATTGTTACTCAGGGACACAGAATCGTTACTCAGGGACACAGAATCGTTACTCAGGGACACAGAATCGTTACTCAGGGACACAGAATCGTTACTTTCTGCTTCACAACCACTATTGAATTAAAGAGTATGTCAGACAACACGCAGAGGAGTGGCAGAGGAGGCAATGTTTCAGGAGCGAGCAGACGTGGCAGCAGAGGAAGGGGTCGAGGCAGCACTAGTCGCAGCCAGAGGCCAGTGCTCCCGGTGTCATCCAGCGGTCGTGTCTCCACCGACAACCCTGCCGTCATCGATTGGTTGACTCGGTCGTCTTCCTCTTCCCAGGTCACCTCTGACACCTACAGCCAACGGTCGGTGGGTACGTCAGACACAACCGTTAGTTGGCATGGCCCGGGACCAAGCCCACTGAAATCACGTGTCCTCTACCTGCCCCTGTCCTTTGATGTTCCCTCACCAAGCGAAGTATCGCATGCTGTGGGCTCAGCCCCACTGTACAGTGAGGAAGAGCTAACAGAGGGCGGTCAGGAACGGGGGGAGACATCCGCCTCTTCAGCAGCCAGGCGAAGAAGTACTGGCGAGGAGAGTGGCTCGGTAGCCGGTCTAGAGACAGGTCTGTCTCCTGACCCACACGCAGCCGAGGGGGCTAGTAGTGATGCGGAGACCCTAATTGATGATGATGAGGCTGATCGCACTTGGCAGCCTCGTCGTCATCAGGCTATTGCTTCCGCATCATCAGGAGAAGAGGGTGCCAGCTTGCCAGCGAGCAAAACAGTCGGTGGGTTGCCCAGGAGGCAGCAGGGTCGCAGCAGTGTCAGTGGAGAGCAAACGGCCACGGAGTAGAGCACCAGCTCCACTGCAGCCTACCACCACGGCCAGTAGTGGTGCCGGTGTGCACGGAGGAAGTAGCAGTCAGCCAGTGAGGAGTAGCGGGGGCAAAGTTTCCTACTCGGCGGTGTGGCAATTTTTCGTCAAGCCGCCCGAGGAAGTAAACGTAGCCGTATGTCGACTATGTGGCCAGAAAGTCAAGCGTGGCCAGGGGGCCCATGTTGGGACTACAGCGTTGCGTCAGCATATGCAGCGTCGCCATTCGGTGGCCTGGGAAAACCGTGATAAAGATACGGCGGTTCTGCCTGCCCCAGCCCCCGCTCCATCACCCGCTCCGTTACTTGCTCCGTCACCCGACGTCAATCGCCCTCTATCAGCCAGTCAAGGCTCCAACACCTCTGCTGAGGGGAGTTGTCGCTCGTTGGCATCTTCCGCTCATTCAGATGCTCCTTCTCCTGCTACTCCTCTTCACGGATTCCGTCAGCAGTCTTTCTTGGAATCCGTTTCCAAGAGACAACAGTTTGCGAGCACGCACCCGACGGTGCAGAAGCTGAACGTCCTCCTGTCCAAGTTGCTGGTGCTGCAGTCCCTCCCTTTCCAAGTGGTGGACTCAGCACCTTTCCGAGAAATGATGGCTTGTGCCAAGCCGCGGTGGAGAGTGCCAAGCCGGCATTTCTTCGCTAAAAAGGCAGTGCCAGCCCTGCATTCACATGTAGAAGAGATGGTGGGCCAGTCTTTGAGCATGTCGGTCTCTGCCAAAGTGCACGGCAGCGCCGACGTGTGGAGCTGTAACTACGGTCAGGGACAGTACATGTCATTTACGGCCCACTGGGTGAACGTGGTGCCGGCACAGCCGCACCAGCAACTTGGACAGGTCACGCCGCTTTTGCCTCCAAGTTTGCACGTCCTTGGTCCAGCAAAGATGTCCGCCTCTACCACCTCTTCTTCCGCCGTGTCCTCAGCCCCCACCCCCGTGCCAAGTCCCATTACCCGACCGGCATATCACATGTGCAGGGCGCAACGGTGTCACGCTGTGCTGCACCTGGTATGCCTTGGCGAACGTAGTCACACAGGGGAGGAACTTCTGAGTGTAATGAACAGAGAAATCGACAGATGGCTGTCTCCGCGCAAACTGAAAATCGGAACCATGTTGACCGACAACGGAAAGAACATGGTGTCTGCTCTGCGTCAAGGAAGGTTGTGCCATGCGCCATGCATGGCTCACGTGTTCAATCTGGTTGTCAAGCGGTTCCTAAAATCCACCATCCCACTGCAAGACATCCTTAAAATGTCACGTAAACTTTGCATGCATTTCAGCCATTCCTACACCGCAAAGCACACCCTCCTTGAGCTGCAGCGGCAGAACGGAATTCCACAGCATCGCCTGATCTGCGACGTTGCAACAAGGTGGAATTCAACCCTACATATGTTAGACCGCCTTTACGAACAGCGAAAGGCCATCACCGATTTCCTGATGTTACAAGCGGATAAAGGTACTCCCCTGTGCAACTTAGATGTCAGCCATTGGCAGCTCATGCGTGACACCTGCCGCTTGCTCAGGCCCTTTGAGGAGGCCACGCTATTCGTGAGTCGGCAGGACTATGGGATGAACGACGTCATTCCTCTGTTGCACGTCCTGGAACAAATGCTGTTAACAATGGCTGGTCAGGGTGCGGTAGTCGTGGCGCACAGATCTCAACGCCACATGACCCCTGTGGGGGCAGGACAGGAAGAAGAGGAGGAGGTAGAGGAGGACATTGGTGCTCAGGAATTATTGAGTGAAATGGGTGGTTTTTCCACTCAGCGGACAGGAGTGGAGGAGCAGGAGCATCTGGTAGAGGAGGAGGAGGAGACAGAGGACCCAGACGCACCGTGGCAGTATGCTGTGGAGATGGAGGCAGGGAGTCCCTCGCATTCCTTGGCACAAATGGCCCATAGCATGCTCGCTTGCTTGCGTAGCGACAGCCGAATAATAACCATCAGACAGAGGGATGACTTTTGGCTGTCCACCTTGTTGGACCCTCGCTACCGTTCAAAAATGGTGGCCTTTTTCACACCTGCTGAGAGGGAGGCCAAAATAAAGTACTATAAAAACCACCTATGTAGTCAGTTGGTCTCTGCCTTTCTGCGCCAACGTCCATCCTCAGACACTGTGGGCCCTGTGCGCTCGCGTTCCGCTGCCATGGCAGCAGGGGAGGGGTGGGGTGGTAGGAGCAGTGGCAGCTCCACCACCAGCGGCTGCCTCAGTCTGCAGTCGATGATGAGTAGCTTTATTCACCAGCGCAGTGAGGAAACTACTAACCAGCCGCAGCAGCAGCAGCATCAGGTGGACCTGGGAGCAGGACCTCAAACAACAGGCTCGGGCCTACTTGGACAGCACCCTGCCAACCGAGGTAGACAATCCCCTTGACTACTGGGCAACGAAACTTGACCCTTTGGCCCCAACTAGCTGAATTTGCCCTTGAAAGGCTGTCATGCCCAGCCAGTAGCGTGGCATCGGAGCGCGTGTTTAGTGCGGCAGGAGGTATTGTAACTCCGCGAAGGACACGACTGTCCACCCAAAGTGTGTGGAGAGACTCACGTTTGTGAAAATGAATCAGGCGTGGATTAGTCTGGATTTCAAACCACAAGTTCCTGACACAACTGACTAAATCCGCCATGAATCATGCCCCAAACATGTTATTATTTTTTAACATAGGCCTCTGTATGGCCTTCAATTTAAGCTGCTTACGCTTCGCCACTCTGCCATGGGCCCCTGTACCGCCTCCTCATGCTGCTGCCAGGCCCGTAATCTGCCATGGGCCCCCGTACCGACTCCTCATGCTGCTGCCAGGCCCGTAATCTGTCATGGGCCCCTGTACCGCCTCCTCATGCTGCTGCCAGGTCCAGAGTGTGTCATGGGTCCCTGTACGGCCTTCCATTGCTGCTGCTGTCTCCATCGCCACACTCTGCCATGTGCCACTTTCAGGTTCTCCTCACACTGCTGGTGGGGTTCCATTTTGTCATAGGGTGCTGTATGGCCTCCCATTGCTGCTGCCAGGAACCCGTAATCTGCCATGGGCCCCCGTTTACCGACTCCTCATGCTGCTGCCAGGCCCGTAATCTGTCATGGGCCCCTGTACCGCCTCCTCATGCTGCTGCCAGGTCCAGAGTGTGTGTCATGGGTCCCTGTACGGCCTCCCATTGCTGCTGTCTCCATCGCCACACTCTGCCATGTGCCACTTTCAGGTCTCCTCACACTGCTGGTGGGTTCCATTTTGTCATAGGGTGCTGTATGGCCTCCCATTACTGCTGCCAGGCCCGTAATCTGCCATGGGCCCCCGTACCGACTCCTCATGCTGCTGCCAGGCCCGTAATCTGTCATGGGCCCCTGTACGCCTCCTCATGCTGCTGCCAGGTCCAGAGTGTGTCATGGGTCCCTGTACGGCCTCCCATTGCTGCTGTCTCCATCGCCACACTCTGCCATGTGCCACTTTCAGGTCTCCTCACACTGCTGGTGGGTTCCATTTTGTCATAGGGTGCTGTATGGCCTCCCATTGCTGCTGCCAGGCCCGTAATCTGCCATGGGCCCCCGTACCGACTCCTCATGCTGCTGCCAGGCCCGTAATCTGTCATGGGCCCCTGTACCGCCTCTCATGCTGCTGCCAGGTCCAGAGTGTGTCATGGGTCCCTGTACGGCCTCCCATTGCTGCTGTCTCCATCGCCACACTCTGCCATGTGCCACTTTCAGGTCTCCTCACACTGCTGGTGGGTTCCATTTTGTCATAGGGTGCTGTATGGCCTCCCATTGCTGCTGCCTCCACCCCCCACACTGTGGCTCCACACTCTGGTTTTGGCCCCGTGACTGCCCAAATGAGTGAAGTGTGCGTTGATTCTAAGATCGACGGCACTCATCTGCATGTCATACTGACTGACAGTATTATTTCTCTTCCCCAGCAGACTCCAAGGGCATTTAAATTTAAAGGTACAGTGTTCTGCACTAATATAAAGGCTCTCTGAAGCCTAGAAACACCCTTTTTACACATTAAATTCGCAGCGAATATATTCGCCTCAAATCGAATTTATTCCGCGAATTCGGCGAATCAGCCGAATCGAATTTTTGAATAATTCGCTCATCTCTAATTGTAATGAAAGATGACAATTAAAAATTGTTGAAATGTAATTTTTAAATTATTACAATGAGAATAATGAGATTTTTTTGTGACTAGGTTTACATGTACTTTTACAAACTATCCCACACAACTAATCTAAGTCCCACCATGAGGCACAACACTCAAACACCAATTGTTCCTTACTTGATGTTGTGCCAGTATCATTCGAAACAAAAACAGTACACAGTGTCACCAAAACGTCTACAGCACAAAGACTTTGATGAGATGATTTAAATGATATGTTACTGTAGCCACTGCAAACAACATAAGTATATATTTTTTTATATTATCAAAGATTTTAAATTATGGAAGACATTATTGTGGTTATTTATACTGTAACTATTACAAACAAGACAAGTCTGGTTGTTTTACTGTCACCCAGAATTCTACATTGCAGAAGACTCTAATATAATGAATGAGAAGAGAAAAATCTGATCTATTTAGTCCCGTCAATTAGATCAGTCCCTTATTGGAATATAGATCAAATATTTTTAACCCAGCAAATTAGAAACATTTCAGTTCATCCAAGCCACAGAATTGCATGAATGTTTTCCTCGAGGCATCTGCAGTTATTTACCATGAATGAATTAGTCTCATTCAGCTCACTTATTTTTGAATGATTAATGTTAATACTTGTGTATACCAAAATGATTCATGTGCATACAAATTCTTTAAAGAAAAGTACACATAAATTTTAGTGGCTCATCTATCTATTGGAAAAAAAAGTCCTTACATTTTTGCCAGTCAAGTCAACTTAAACTGGATCCTTTATAAACATGATGAGGCTGATTTACTAAATATTTCTGTGTTTACTTATTTCATCTGCACATGATTAGGTACTCAAAGTGCACAGTAATTGCCTTTTCATATGACTGGACAATAACATTGAATATTAACACAATTTAGTGTGCGAAGTTTGTCAACTTCTTTGGTAAATCAGTCTAAATTAAGCAACAGATTTCTTCACAAGAGGATGCATTTACTTGGGACTCCTTGATTACAAGGGCTGTTTAATGCAAAAGATGAACTACCCCTTTAATAAACTAACATGAAAGGCATTAAGCTACCTGTGTGCATATACAACATATATGGCAGGAAACTAGTACAGCTGTGTACCGGCACACAGAAAAGCTAGGGCTAATATCCAGCATGCACTGACAGGTAGGTGCATTTGTGTGTGCGCCAGCATGCATCGGTGTGCACGTCCCCCTGAATTGGTGCCAAGCTCTCTATTTAAAGGAGATCCTGCTGTGTGCTAATCACTGGATGTTCTTCAGCTCCCCCTGGTCCGTGTTCCTGTGTTTCTGCTTTTGCTGATTGATCTTCCTTTGCTGACCCAGCTTGTTCCTGACCTTGCTCTGTGGTTTCTGGATTCTGACCTTGGCTTGCCTCTGACTATTCTCTGCCTGCTTCCCTGGTGCTGACCTCAGTTTGGTACTAGACCTTGCTCTGTCTGCTTCCCTGGTACCGACTCTGGCCTGCCTCCTGACCATGCTGCTCTCACCGTGTATGACCCTAGCTCGCCTTGACTACATCATTGACTGTGGCAGTCACTCGTTATCAAGCTACAGGCACCTTTGTTTCTTTGAGCCTTGCACCTCTGTCACCACATTCAGGGTGCTTGGACCAGAGCTACAAAGGAAGCCTCTCTCTCAACCTGACCTCCAACCAAGGTATGTGACAATATAAAAGCAAGAGGTATAACAACCAGTTGTCTACATAGATGTAGATGAGCACAGAATGCAACATGGAATATTTAATGATAATATATTGAATATAGATGAATGGGCTAAACATTCACCCTTTGCTTGATGGATACTCATTCATAACAACATGTCAGCATCATAACCACTGGGAGTGAACTACACATCAGAATCTGTCTCTACAAAATACATTCTTGAGCTTTGACAATATATTTTTAATAGTAATATTATTTGAAACTTTTTTTGGTGGTAGTAAAGTCTTGAAAAAAAAATCCAATCCCCTACAAATTAATGTCATAATGTGCTAGTATATATCACATACTAGCACATTATGAAAGACCTACCTTAAAATGGAGCCCTGCAGCGGCTTGCTGTCACCGCTGACAGGGCTTCCATCCTCACCCTGTCTTCTTTCCTGGTTCATGGGCTCCAGCCGTTGAACCGCTGAGCCAATATGACATCACTCCTGTACATGTGCACAAGAGCTACGATGGCGGCACAGTTCTCTGAAGGGCAGGGGCGGACTGACCATTTGGAAACTCGGGCACTGCTCGAGGGCCCGGGGTCATTAGGGGGCCCCATGAGATGCCCCTGGTACCTTTTTCATAGGCTTTTTTGGGTTTGGGCAAGGACACAGGGGCCCCATGATCCCCTATTGCCCGGGGGGCCAATGAGTTGTCAGTCCGCCCTTGCTGAAGGGACAACATACTCGGCATGCGATCCCTTCAGACCGCAGTGCACATGCATCAGTGATGTCACCGGCTCCAGAAATAGTTAATATCTCCTAAACAGTACACTTTTACGAGATATTCCTTGTGCCTACAGGTTTGGGGATTACTACCACTTTACAAACATTGTTATATTGCAGCAACTGCATAATACTCAGTGTCAACAGTGACTTAAAGTGATATTAAAGGCATCTTTAAAAAAAAAAAATAACAAACATGCCATACTTACCTGGTCTGTGCAGTGGTTTTGCACAGAGCAGCCTCAATCCTCCTCTTCTCTGTTTCCCTGCTGGCGCTGCTGGCCCTTCTCTCCTGCCAAGTGCTCTCAGAGCAAGATGCTGGCTATGGGGGCACCCAAGCAGGCTCACTCCCAAGCCACTGCTCTGTGTGTCCATTCACACACAGAGCCATGACTTGACCCTGCCCCCCCTCTCTCCTCATTTGCTCTCTGGCTGTGATTGACAGCAATGGAAACCAAAGGCTCCTGCTGCTGTCTCAGCCAAAGAGAGAGAGAGAGTCCCCTGAGAGCTAAGGCTCTCGTGAACAACTCTGGATCGTGATAGGGCTCAGGTAAGTAATTAGTGGGGTGGGAGCTGCTGCACACAGAAGATTTTTCACATTCTTGCAAAGAATGCATGAAGATAAAAAAACCTTCAGCCTTTACAACCACTTTAACATTTTAAAAATAAAGATGCAACTGTAGTGTGCATATGAAAAAGCCTAAACCAGGCAAATATTTAAAAAAAAAATCAATTATGGTAGATATGTATTCAGTACATATGATTAAATCTAATGTTAATGCAGGTAGCATAAGTACCCAATTTAATTTGATGTGAGCCAGTTGGTATAACCTAAACAGAAGAATTCACAATAGGAGAAGTAGGGGCAGCAGTAGTAGCTCCATAAAAGTGAATTGATAAAGAACATGCCAATGGAGAGGTGAGCAGAGGAATGGGTCCATCAGTTGCTTCTTCATTGTCTAGCTATAGGCTGTATAAACCTGAAGGTGAGAGTACCACTAATCTGCCTCCCTTCCCATTTCATATTTGAAAGATTTTTTTTGAGGGGGGGGGGGGCATATACCTTTTTTCTGACCAGCACCCACTCATATTCCACTTTTCTCACCTAGACAAGAATTATGCAAGTTTGGCCAAAGCCCCCCACCCCCTGAACGCAACCTCTTGGGTCATATCACATGTCCCGGGAGGCTGAGGGACCAATCTGACAGTGCAGGGCTACCTGGCACATGCACAGTGGAGAGTCGGCTAAGAAACAGCAGCAAGTCATAGCCAGCTCCCACAGCCAATATAGATGAGCTGAGGAACGAAGACTAAAGAACTGGCCTGGGTAAAGACAGAGCTGGACTCCTGGGCTGGTGAGTGCCTATTTCTTAACATTCATCAGCTACAGTATTTGTAGCTGCTGACTTATAGTAAAAACAACTGCCAGGCTGCATAAATCTCAGTAATGGATGAACAAAAAATCAAAGTTCCATCACGCTGCTGCTACATCTTCATTGCCCTAATCAGAAGCTGGGGCAGGGACAAGACCTAATGGTATTCTTAATTTCCGCAGAGAAAAGTCAGGCCTCCAGCACAGCTGTGCTGTTTGCCATAGCTGTGTGAACCTGCAGAATGAATAGACAAAAATACAAAACGTTTGGCATATAAAACAGCTCTCCTGTATTTAGTTGTGTGCATACAGTTCAGCATAAAATACTTTTCACTTACTACAGTCTAAGGCTGGCCATACACGTATAGAATATCGGCCGTTTACAGTGCGAATGACTATTCGTCTCTCGACAACGACTTGTCCACTAAACACATAGAATAAAATTAATTCAAAGATTCTTCCTCCTATTCACCAAAGGACATGGGAAATACTAGACATGGTATTTTTTGTTTTGATTACCACATAAACTTATACACTTTGGTTGAAACGATGAAAGTTTTTGCTTCGGATCCATCGACATTAGCCGGACCTACTTTCGAAATCGAAAGTTGAGTTCACTAACAGCACGAATATCGAACGATCTTTTCAAAAACTAAAATTTTCATTGATGTTCTATACGTATATGGGGGGCATAAGATGTGATAATGTCTAAGATAATCTGCTTTTGATTTTCATCTAATATACAACATTTTACTTTTCGACTGTGAAATGGTACAACCCAAGCACATAATGACAAAACCAAACAGACTTACCAATTAGAGGTACAGAATCTGATGTTGCAGGCATAATTTCTGCCACAAGCAGCATAAAGACTGTCAGTGATAACAGAACGGTGATGCCTAGGTTATCAGAGAAATACAATAATTAATCCTTGAATATTCTTTCATGTCAGCTACAGATATGGGTTCAATTCACTAAAGAGAGAAATGAATCGCGCAACATATTTTTTCCAGTTATCTCATGCAATGCTGAAATTGTCAGTTCAGTATCCTTTTATGAGTTATTTACCTCAAAAAGCAAAAACACTCAGTAAATACCTCATAAAACAGCGTTAAAGTCAATTCAATAAGGGAAATATATAAATGCATAAGTTAAATATGTAGTGGTCCAGGTATGCAGTAATTAAAGTGTTAGTTCACCTTTACCAGAAACCTGCCTATGCAGAAAAGGAGTGTCTGAGGATAATAATAAACTGTGTGTCTCTGACTAAAGTTGAATAATACCCTTGATATGGTGTAGGCCATTTATGTACTTAATAAAGCCTGACTGGAATACTCCCAGGATGTTGCTAGGAAGTTGCTAAGTGAGGCCTAGTCATTGTTGCTCACCTCCACCATCACTGGAGTTAGCTTTTTTCCTGACTCAAAGCCCCTCACATTGCTCTTTCTCTCCTCTGATGCAGTAGTTCTGAGGTCAGCGTCTGAAAGCTTACTTCTGTGATGGTGGAGGTGAGCAGTAATAACCAAGCCTCACCTAGCTACGCACTTGGAGTTTTCCAGTCAGGCTTCATGAGATATGTAAATGGACTATACCTTTAACAAGGGCATTATTCAACTTTAGTCAGAGCTGCACAGTTTGTTGTTTCCTACAAACACCCCTTATCTGCATTGGGCAGCTTTCTGGTGAAGGTGAACTATCCCTTTAAGGAATGTAAAAATATAATAGCCAAGTTGAAGCAGTCTTTACCTTTTTGGATCAGTTTCTCAACAGTAATGCATAGAAAATTAAATATGAAAAACACACAATCATTGGAGTTTATTTACATAAAGACTCACTAGGGAAAACTTTAGTTTTGGATGGAGTGGAGAGGAATTAAAACACCTGTCAGGTTTTATTGCCATCTGTGCCCCCATTAGGGAGATTCACCCTCTCTATTTGTCCTGTTTACCATTATCATTGAAAGTGAAAGTAAAAGAAAATCCTAAATTTTGAGTTGTCCCCAGAAAAGTAATAGAAGTGAAATCTTCCAATTGGGACACTACTTCTGGTGACCTGGAGGTCCTCAAGAGATTCTTTTAATTTGTAGGGATTCTCCTCTCACTTTTTTTTTCTATGTGACAGGAAGTGAAAGGAAATCTCCCCAGTGACATGTTGTCTTTTTTATTGGTGGAAGAAGGATATTTATGTATGTGTGTAATTTTATGATACTATTTTCATTCAATATTTTACTTGTATAAAAATATTTTGCATTTACTTAATTTAGCAAAGTTGTTTTTTTGAAAAACCAGATATGTCCTGTGAAAGCAGCTTTACTTTGACTGGTATTCTAGTCACATTTTCTCTTTTGTATTAATACATATGCTGCAGGGACCGCACTGACTTAGTGAGTTGACATATTTCTATGTTTTAAACCATTTTTTACCCCTTTATTAGTGTAGGGTCCTCCTAGTTAGGTAGGGGGAGCTAGAGTCCTGATTTTTAGAGAGGAGGGCTGAGTAGTAGCCTTGGTGTAATAATCAGAAGGTCAAATTGTGGTCAGTTTGCTGAGAGGCTCTGCAGGCCGGCCCCTCTGAAATTTCCCCCTGCTCTAGAGCTTTGAAGGAAGGCCTAGAGGCAGTGGGTGGATCTGAGGAGTGTTTTTGCTTGTACGTTTGAGGGATCCTGGCCAATCCCCAACAGGAAGCTTGGTAAGGGGCCAGAACACCCTTAAAAGTAAGGGAGCCTACTCAGCAGCAGGAGAAAGTTCGAGAGGAAGACAATGAGGAAGATGTGAGGTAGGCAGGAGCCTGGGAGGGAACCCAGATGGAGAGAGGGGCCCACCTACAGGCAGCAGAGTGGGAAAGGAGAAAAACTCAGAGCTTCACTGGCCCCCAGAGTGAGGACCACCAGTACAGCAGGGAAGGAGCGGCCCAGCTAAAAGACCTGGTAGCAGCCATCAACCCATCAGTGGTACAGGAGAGAATCTGCTACATTAGCAATACAAACTGACGGGTTCTAATTTTTCTCCACTGTATTTATCCCACTGGATCTCACATGAGATAAAATACTGCATGGTTTCAGGAATAAAATACTTAAAATTTTGATGAAATAACTCATGCTTTATTTTATTAGCTTTTTTATAAATTGCAAAAAACTTTGAAAAAAAGCTATGAGTTATTTTATATCAGATTTTAAAGAGGGAAATAACTCTTCGTGAATTGGGTCCAATGCCACTGGAATGGGTTGCATTGATACCTATCATTGCTCTCTTGCAGAGCTACAGGCACCACTAGAATCTTCCACATCCGATACTTATGGGTGTGTCAGATGTCTATGTCCTGCCACAATGTGCTGTGGCTCTTCCAGCATGCAGGGCTGATTTACTAAAGGAAAATAGGCTCTTCATTGGAGCTTCACAAGTGAAATTGCACCTTGCAAGGGAAATTGCACTTTGCATGGGAAATGCAATGTGGTAAAATGTTACTTTGCAAAGCATACCCAATCACGTGCAAGAAAAATAAAAAAAAAACATAATTTTTTTCTTGCATTGATTGGATGATGGAAGTCAGCAGACCTTCACTTCATTCACTAAACACTGGGGAAAGGTCCCATGTAAAGTGCAACTTCCCTTGCCTTTGGTAAATCAACCCAAGCATGTTGTTTATAACTAGATAGAAACTGTGCATGTGATACAATTTTTTATGCACAAAGCTGTTTAGTCATTGCAACACTTTCCTCTATTTAGGGGACTGCACAGTGATAATTTCACACAGTATTATTATTACAGGTACTTATATAGAGCCATAAATTTACATAGATATTGTACATTCACATCAGTCCCTAACCCTCAAGAAATTACAATCTAAGGTCTGTAACTAAAATTCATACACATACTAGAGCCAAATTAGACAGGAACCAATTAGCCTACCAGAATGTCTTTGGAGTAAGGGAGGAAACTGGAGTGCCTGGAGGAAATCCACACAGGCATAGGGTGAACATGCAAACACCTAGCAAGTGGTGACTGTGGTTGGGATTCAAACCAATGACCCTAGAGCTGCTAGGCAGAAGAGCTAGCCACTGTGCTACCCAGTATGCCCCAATATACAAAGAGCACTCACTAGTTTTTACTCTTTTTCTTAAAAAAGTAATATTTTGCATAGCATACCAGCTTACTGGTCAATTTGAACATTTATACTGCATGCTAATTTGTCTTACATATTTCCTTCATTTTCATTTTTTCAAAAAAGATGTTTAAAACAATACTATATTTAACACAGTGAAAAGTGAAAAAAAAAAATAACATTTATCAAAGAGAACTTAATCACAGTTTCAAGGAGTTTAACTCCTCATGCACACACTGCTGCTTATAAACTCATGTTTTGGAGTTTTTGGCGTTTTTTTTGCCAAAGCTTCTGCACACAACCTAATAATAGCCTATATGTCCATGCACACAAAGGCTTTTACTCAAGTTTAGGAGCAACAGCATTTAGAGGCAGTAAAATGCTCCTCTCCTGAATGCAGAAGAATCTAGTTGAAGAGAGTTTTTGGCAGATAAATGCTCAATGTGACAAAAACACATGTAAAAGCTCATTAGTGCTAGATGCACTTGAGCGTTATTTATTTCAATGGCCAGAATAAATTATTATTCTGGCCAATTAAATGTCAAAGGGGCTAAATGTGGTACATGTGTTTACCAGTGTCAAATGTTTTCCTGCTGCCAGGAGAAAGGCTTTTACAGAGTGTCCAGTGTGCATAAGTAGTATTCTTTAAGCTTCATTATTTTTAATATGTACTTTTAATAAGTACTTTTTGCGTAATGTGCATTGTATATTACTTTTCATGTAAAATAGCATAAAAAACATTGTTCACAACAGTTGTTGTTGGACTTGGTGATTTTATTTTCAGATCGATACCTTCTAGCAGTGCCAATTTTTTGTGCAATTGTCATGATTTGTAGGTCTTGCAAGGATCTGTTTTTGTTGTAGTGGTACTATGGTGTCCGTTTATGACACATAGAATAGCTGAGATTCAGAGGATCACAGCTATTCTCTGGTCATTCACAGTTTATGACACCCAGGAGAATATGTTCAGCCCTTCTCTGGAGATCTGTGTTCTCCCTCCAGATTCTCCAGCCCAGAGCTGAAGAATCGGAGGGACCGAAAACTAAGCAGAGATAATTTACCTCTGTTTAGTAAACTGATCTTTTACTGTAATCTCACGAGATTATAGTAAAATCAGCCATTTTTCCAGCGTTTGTAGACCGTTCTCCCTTTGTTTGGAGAACTGATCTACATATGCTTCATAAACGGCATTCACAGGAGAACTGTGTTCTCCGAGAATGCCGGAGAACTGAGCAGCGATCTATTACTGCTGGTTCATAATCAGACACCTATGTCCAACTATGGTCCAACTGAGACATGTGTTTGAGGAGGTGTAGGAGATTAGATTGAGTGAAATATGCCCTGTGGTTTTAAATGTTTAATTTGAAGGTTGGGAGCAATCTCTCGTAATACTACATGGCTGTTGGAAATTAGAAGATAAGGAAAGAGTCTTAAAATCTGTTGCCAGATGATTAGTTTAAACTTCTAATTTGACATATTTAGAGAAGCCGATTTCAGATTATTTTTAAATGTATGGCTGTATTCCTAATTATTTACGTACAACTGTATAATGTTTTTACATGCTGACTTTTAATTAAATTTAAATTGCTGTACTACTATCTTGCTACATATGATACATTACAAAGAACATTAAGGTTTTTGTAAATTGTTATTTAGCAAATTAGTCAAACCTATAATACTGTGCTTAGACGCTGAAGCAATAATAAGCAGACAATATCATAAGACATAATTATGTTCTGAGAACATATATTATAGATCTTTTCCATTATTACTTTGTAAATAATCTATTGCTTACCTAGAGATATCTTCTCTCCTGAATCAGCAGGCAGGAGGAACACAAGCAATGCCAACCCAGATATAAGGACACACGGTATCAGTAAATTTAATCCATAGTATAAAGTGCGTCTACGCATGGTCACTGTGTAGGTAACATCAGGGTATGGCTCCTTGCAGCAGTCATAATATAGTTCATTTCTTTTCCCTGGCACATCTAAAAGAGGTAAAATATATTGTACAGAAATTTATTCTATGCCAGGAGCACAGCATTAGAAATGTTTCCATTGTAAGAAAAAAATTTAAATGCTTTCAGTGGAAGCAGTCCTTGGGTAAGTAATTAATTGGAACCTGCACCACAGATCCCACTCACAGCTATTATATTTGGCTATTACATTTTGGCTCATTCTTTGGCATAGAGGATAGCCGTTGATCATAATCTCTGCAATGTTAATCTGATCTCCAGGGAGACATAGTATATAAAAGACCTATTAATACAGCTAGTTAAAACAATAAATGTATTTTTAATGCAAGTATTGTAGTAGACGTTTAAAGGAAGGCTAAGTGTATGTAGAAAAACCTATGCTGACAGTTCTGAATGAAAAAGGAGAGCGAGCAGAGGGCTGACCTCATCTACATGCTCCCACTGCATTGTCACCTTGACCAATGCTACAATGGAAATCACACACCTGTACTGTTTGGCAGCATTGCCTGGACCAAAATGGGCTGCAAATAATGATTGTTTGAGAGATTAAACATTTCCCATGTATGTATTTCAGCTGGGTGTTCAGCTTTTTGGAGTTTAAAAATAGCCAAATCTGTCACTGGACACATTAATTGTACATTGTCATCTATAGCACACACACCAGCCATAATCTGAGCTTCTGCAGGTCATTTTATGTGGTATTTGTCTGACCTGACATAGGGGGATGCTTACCAACACACTAAACTTTTAGTGTACCTTTAACTTTATGGAAAATTTACTCTTGAATACATTTTCTAATACATCATCAACACACCTGCCAAAATTCTTTATGATGATAAGTTAATTCTGAAGGCAATAAAAATCCTGTAAACAGCATATAGGAAATACTTCTATATCGTATACTGTATATGTTGATGCCAGTCGGTGTCCAACAGCTTGAAATAGGTTATGTGAAAATTCTCTCATTCCTTCTCATGAGGAATTAGACTCTTACTAACAGATGGTGCTAAAAGGGTTTCAGTTACATTTCAAATCAATGCTAGGAAGTGTGTAAAATTAAAACATGCATTCAAGGAAATCTGGGTTTGTCTATGTATGTGCATTGACATAAATGAGTGTCAAACTTAAAAAAAAAAAATTTAAATAAACATTCTGGAACATTATCTGCCCAGTTATGAAAACAATTGAATGCAAAAGAAAACGTAGTAAAAATGAAATTATTATTATACAGTATTTATATAGCGCTAAAAGGTTTGCTCAGCGCTGTACATTATAGTGGGGGACAGAACATGAGACAATACAGTAACAAAACAAACCCGAGGGGGGTCTAGGGCCCTGCTCTTTCGAGCTTACAATCTAGGAGGGAGGGGATATTGGTACAGGAGGGAGTGGCTGTGGGGGATGGAGTGGTAGGAGGAGTGGAGGAGATCGGCTGTTAGGTGAGGGCGGGGTAGGCTTCCCTGAAGAGATGGGTTTTCAGGGTGCGCCTAAAGGTGAGTAGGGTAGGTGACAGTCTGATGGATTGGGGTAGTGAGTTCCAGAGGATGGGGGAAATAAAATTAATTCACAATAACATTAAGACAAGCTCAAATATCAAAGAGCATTATTGTTATTGTCAGCCTATTAAAACAAGAAAAAGTCTTTGGAGACTTGTTTTTCTTTTATATTATGTTATAAACTCACTGGCCACTTTATTAGGTACACCTTGCTAGTGCCAAGAAAATATCCCCACACCATTCACCACCCCCAGCCTGAACTGTGGATACTAGACAGGATGGATCCATGCTTTCATGTTGTGTACGTCAAATTCTGACCCTACCATCTGAATGTCGCAGCAACCAGTCTGCCCATTCTCCTCTGACCTCAAACAACAAGGAATTTCCGTGCACACAACTGTCGCTCACTGGATATTTTCTGTTTTTCGGACCATTCTGTGTAAAGCCTAAAGATGGTTGTGCATGAAAATCCCAGTAGATCAGCTTTTTTTTTTTTTTTAAATACTCAGACCAGCCCATCTGGCAACAACAACCATGCCCTGTTCAGAGTCACTTAAATCCCCTTATTTCTCCATTCTGATGCTGGGTTTGAACTTCAGCAATTTGTCTTCACCATGTCTAGATACATAAATGCATTGAGTTGCTGCCATGTGAATGGCTAATTAGCAATTGAACAGGTGTACCTTATAAAGTGGCCGAGAGAGTGTAAATTATTCTAGTTACTGTACATAGTGTATTACAAAAAGGAAACAGATCAGCTAATATTCCATGAAATCCTTAAATGTTGATTCAGCTAGATATGGCCAAATATCAAATGTGGACAAGGCAATGAAACTATCAACTCTCTGTAAAACAACTATTACTTATTATCTAGTATATATTTCCTTCTACTTTGTATGCATGAGCAGACCCATGAAGTATTTATTGTGTCCTTCAGAAAATGGCAGAACTTTGCTTGTAAACATAAGGTAATGTTTTGTCTCTGTGATCCTAGTGATGGCAACTCTACATAGCTGAAGGTAATTTGTTTATAGACCCAACAACAACAAATATTGGAAAGGTATAACCTTCTCTTAACTATTTAGTGGGCATTTAGTTTCTTAATTAAAAAGGGCTTTGTTCAGATTTCTTACCTACTAGATCCCATTCTCCATTAGAAATGTAATTTGAAATATCTGCTTCTAGCATTTGTAAGTCAAGAAGCCATCCATTATGAGTCCAAGATCCAAATTTTAATTTGCACCGTTGCACATCAAAAGGAAACCACCGTACATCAATATAGCATGTGCTCTTTAAAATTCCTGAAAAAATGTAAGAGAAGAAAAGTTGAAAAGTTAATGTATTAAGTTATTATAGTTCAATGAGACCAAGGAAGCTAGGAGCAGATCGGTGTTACTGGGGACATGAGGAAACTCCCTCCTTACTGTGGTTGGGCTGCTGGCTGTGTACCTTCAGCAGGGATCAGACTGCATGGTGCCTATGTGTCTGCAGATACCTTATAAACTCATCTAATAAAGACAGTGATCAAGAGAGGTCCCTCAGAATCAGAAATCAGCAGAAGACAATCAGGAATGCCAAGCCAGCACTGCTTGCTACAGTTCCATTGATCATGTGTTTGATTGATTGCATAATATGGCCATGTGGAATCTAGTACTAGTGTTGCCATAGTAGTATTAAACCTACACCTTTTTTTTAGCTTAACATATTAACCAAAATAAAATAAATATTCTTCAGTAAACTATTTGTTAAAATACTTACCACAGCACATGCAGTTTACAACTTTCAATGCTGCCAGTGCCTGTTCTCTCTGCTGCTTCTCTGAACTTCCAGTCTTCACAAGAAAGGGTTAACAGTGGACAGCTGTCTAAAGTCAGTCTGTTAGCTTGGACAGGTGAGAAGGGAGGAGAAGGGAAGTGCCTTGAAACCCTAGGTTATGGAGTTGTTTGTTTCTTTTGATGCACACAGTGTAGAGCAGTGTTTCTCAACTCCAGTCCTCATGGACCCCCAACAGGTCATGTTTTCAGGATTTCCCTCAGATGAAACAGCTGTGGTAATTACTAAGGCAGTGAAACTGATCAAATCACCTGTGCAAAATAATGGAAATCCTGAAAACATGACCTGTTGGGGGTCCATGAGGACTGGAGTTGAGAAACACTGGTGTAGAGAGACACAAGTCTAATGCCTGCATGAAAAGGTGGCTCCACTGGACGCTGCAAAAGAAAGGAGCCACCCTGAAACCTGGGGCAGCTGTCAAAGTACCAGCTTAAAGCACATGTCCATGTTTGCAAGTACATTTGAAAAAAATCCACTATATGTTTGTTATGTGTTCACAATCACCCACCATGCCTACATTTTCTTTAAAAAGTATATATTTTTTACCTATTAGATGTTTCTAAGAGAAGGTGTTATGGCTTATTTGAAGAATTTGTGGAAAGCTTCACAGTGTCTTTGTCCCCACACAGACTTAAGGAATATGTTATCCTAACATTTCATATTCCTGATGTGCCTGTTGTACCATATACTTGTATGAAAAAGTATCCTGTTCTCTTTGCATTGCTTCTTTTGTGTGAAATACATGTTCTTTCTACAAGTCCCTCTGCTTTCCTAATGAAAACTGACCACACTAGGCATGAGAGCACAGCATAGTCAGTTCTATATCTGTGCTAGAAACACAGCCTGCTCTCCTCCAATGATTAGACTTGTAGTGACACTCCTCCCCCCGTGATCATCTATTCACTTCACTGGGAAGATTAGTGTGCTGCTCTTTCTTCTCCCCTAGCTTTTTGAGCTCCTTATGCAGCTGAGAACAGATGGTATGTGATCACTTATAAAAAAGGGAAAAAAGGTATTTTTTTTTTTATACATACCATATACACAAATGTTAATTTCTATTTTTAACTGAATGGGTTGTTTTACAAGGTGATGGTTCACATATACTGTAAGCCAGAGGTCTCCAAATGGCCGGATGTGGCCCTTTGCTAGCCTTTATCTGGCCCTTGGGGCACTATTCCTCCCAATGATATGAGGTACTATTCCTCCCACCGACATCAACAATGGGACACTATTTCTTACACTGATACCAATGATGGGGCATTATTCATCCCATTAATACCAATGATGGGTATTAATGGGAGGAATAGTACCCCATGTTTATTTTCACTGATACTGGGCCCAGGGCATTCTCTACCCCCACTGGTCACAATTTGGCCCTCCTAAAGTTTGAAGGACAGTAAACCGGCCCTTTGAAAAGTTTGGAGACCCCTGCTGTAAGCTATGCCTCATTAACATACAATGCAGAAAGGCGGTTTCTACATTTTTAGACAACATGTCAAAAATACTATTCTTAAGCTTCCACGGAAGTTATTGTTTATTTTGTGTATTTAAAGATTACACTAACCTGGTGGAATATATTGACAGGCACCAGTAGAGTTGACCAAGACATTAGTATGAAAAGTTGCATCGAATCTTTCATCTGCACTGAAACACAAACAGAGAAATGGAGTTAGAGGACAGTGGTAGAGATTTAGGTGCAATATGCCTGTGCTGATACAGACTAGGACTGGCCATACACTATACAATTTTCTGTCCAATTTCTGCCCAATTTTCTTTAGGTTTACCTAAAACTATGTTGTGCAAGGACCTGCCTAATTGGGTGCAATTGAAAGTGTTGTTTAGGTTTGACCTCATATTATATGGTTTTTGGTAAATCTAAAGCAAAAATATCAAGAAAATTGTATAATGTATGCCCAGCCTAAGGCACAGCTAATTATTAGGTTGCATCAACATGAGCTATATAAAGACATTCACAAATTTCATAATATATAGCTTTTAATAATATGTTTTTATAACATACATATATGGCGCTGTCCCAATATACCTGTTACCAAGCACTGTCTTTTTAAATATAATGTGACAAAAACAGAATAAGTGTCTAAAGCGTTGTCACTTTAAACAATATTTCTATAGTGCTTGTCTCTTAGTGTGTTTATCTCTTTAAATATACTGCGACCTGCACATAACTATTTGTGGGTATTTTTGTAGGCAGCTATCTTGCAGCTATTACACAGTATATTATTTAGATTTAGGTTTAAGTCTGGTTAATATTAGTGTAGAGTTCACTTGAGGTTTAGTAATTTAAATAATATGCATTTAATAAAAACAGCATAAACTTAACAACATACACAAAAATATACAATTGATTTTAGAAATCCATAAATAGCAGTTTGCAAAACAAATTCTTATGTTACACCTCTTTTTTTGGTCTGCCGTGATATAGAGTAGACAATAAGGGGGAGATTTACGAAAGCTGGTTCACTCAGAATCTGGTGTACCTGTGCATGGTAGCCAATCAGCTTCTAACTTTAGCTTGTTCAATTAAGCTTTGACAATGAAACCTGGAAGCTGATTGGTTTCAATGCAGAAGTGCACGAGATTCTGAGTAAATCAGCTTTAGTAAATAAACCCCACAGGGTTTATTCTTCAGAAATAGTCCATACATCAGAACCACACTGAAGTAAATAAATGCAGGGTCCTCAACACAGCAACAAATATAAATCCAAATTAACAGCAGTTCCTCCTCTTTAGATCTTAGTAACAGTCTAAGTGTCCTTTCACACGGGCATTGTTTTTTTTCTTCAGTTCAGTCACGTTTTTTCAAAGAAAAAAATGGATGAGTTTACATCCGTTTTTTTAATTTGTTTACATCAGTTTTTTTCATCAGTTTTTTCATCCGTTTTGCATCCATTTTTCATCCATTTACATTGGTTTACATCCGTTTTTCACCCATTTAGATCCATTTTTCATCCGTTTACATCCGGTTTCATCCACTGACATCCGTTTTTCGTCCGTTCTGGGGTTTTTTGCGGAAGAAAAATAGGGTTTTCTTCCATTCAAAAAAACGGATATGGACATTAACAGATGTAAAAAGATGTTCATCTGTTTACATCCACAAGTCCATAGAAAACGGACAGATGAAAAACGGACATACGGAACGCCCATGTGAAAGGGGCCTAGGTCTTGATAGATGACTCCTCATTGAAACCACATTCTTGGTAGAGCCCCCAACATCAAAGGTTGCACCTGATTATATTGCTGCGTTTGATTTAAGACACAATTCTGACTGCACTATCAAGGGATAGACACGTATGAAGCCTAATATGTGTATATCCCATGATAGCGCATTCAGAATTATTCACTTTGAAAATCAGTGGTGTTGGTCACATATATGATATATGGACTGATTCATCCAAGCAATTGATTTGTTGTTATGGACGATTTGTATAAGCACTTTATTTTCGCACAGGATCACGTTATTTATTAAGAATTATTGTTTACTATCCTAATATGTTTTAGATAGCAGCGCTACATTATCATTTTTTTCAATATTTTGCACATTCATGTGGGAACATATATTGATGTCAGCTGCAGCATTTATTCACTGACACTTGATTGCACATTGATTAGTTGGCGCTTGAGTTTTTTCATTGTTTTAAGTTCCATTGTAGTCTCCTGACCTAGCTGGAAAATACGCATGTATCCATGATGCTGAACTAAATCCAATTGACTACAAAGTCTCCTAAGCTCCAAACACATCTCATAAATAAGCAAAAATCACAGTACATATGCAATGATTCCATTACTATATGCCTAACCCAGAGGGTTGGATATTATTTGTGTTAGGCTAGTCATTCCACCACACTTAATGCAGGTACATCTGTGACCTTTATATAGTTTCTGCAGCAGAATATAAGGTGATGGTACAGGAGAATGGAATCACCCCATTATATAGTTAAGGCTGTAGTGAAGCCAATTGCACTGATAGTACAAGCAGTACATGTACATAGCACTGGTGTGGTGAGAGGACGTTTGGCTATCATATGTATTGTACTGGCTTGATAGCAATGAAGTGATAATAATGTAGGCAGGTGCAGTTTGCTTCCTCCACTGTAGGTGGTGCTCAACTGGACTGATACTGCACCTGGAGAGGAAGTCAGGATAAACTTGGTTTCCATATGGTTTCCTGGTCCTCTGAGGAAATATCCCGGTTGGCTACCCTGCATTCATGTAATCCCTGGTGGCCATCTTGGGTCAGCAGAGCCTTTTAAAGTCCCTGCCCCCAGCAAACATTTTGCAAAGTGGATAGGGGAGGGAAAGAGCACCCGTCTGTCAGAGAAAGTGATAGTGGTTCC